AGGATCCATCTCCAGCTCAGGACAAGCACCAAGCAGTAGAATATGTGCAGGAATCCGCCCACCACCACTGCCGGCGCCATTACCTGAGCCAGGGGCTCTGGGATCTTGCCCTCCCGCTGGATGAGCTCAAACTGGTAGCCAGTGGGATCCTTTGCAAACGCAATGTGAGTGGTACCGCCCTTGACCGGGCCAGGCTCGCGGGTGATGTTCCCTCCCGCCTTCTTGATGTCTTTTGAAAGCTTGTACACGTCGTTGGTGGCAATGGCAAAGTGCCCAAAGCCCTCCCCAATGTCGTAGCTGTCCTTGCCATAGTTGTAGGTCAGCCTAAGGGGGGGAGGGGTCGTTGGAGTTCTGGATGGTCGCAACAGCTTGTCTAAAGGCGGAAGGGAGCAATTCAGGAGGCGAGGCTCGGACAGCGCCATCAGAAGCCTGCTCAAGGGTCTGGCCAGGAGGGCAATGAGCCCTCCTGTACCTCACTTAGGTCAGGCTCAGGATGTAAAAACCCGCTGCCAACTCCGCACCGCAGTACCACAAAAACCTCCACTCACTCGAATGCAAAGTGATCCTCCTCTGGACCATAGCCCAGGAAAGCATTGCTGTACTTCTCCTGTTTACTTGGAGGGGTTATGGGGATTGCCCTAGGACAAAGTCCGGAATATCTGAATGGATCTTACTGTCGCAGATGAGAGGATCAACACAGCAGACCTGGTCTCAGACAGGGGATCAGGTGCGCCCTCACGCTCCCTGCCTCTGAGAGGCAACCCCTGCCACAGCCTGTGAGCACCATCCAACCATTCTCACATCTGGAACATCACGGCTGCGGAGGAGCTTCAGCCCAAAGGCCTTTTGGTAGACCTCGATGGTCTTGTTGAGGTCTCCCACCCGGTAGACGGCGTGCAGCAGGCGCCTCTTGTCCTCCTGGGCCCAGTCAGCTGACGCTGTGGCTGCCATTCTGCGCCGGGCGTGCGGCAGGAGCATGCTGATGGTACCGGCAGATCACATGCCGACATCCGTCCATGCATGTACACAAACCCGATCTCGATCTGGTGAAACATATCCCCCGCTGCATATTGAGCCTCTTCATGCCCGACTCTGGAGGCCCGGCGGTACCTCCGGCTCGCGGGTGCAAGCGATCGGGCTCTTGCCGCAAGGTGCGTGGCACGCTGAAATGTCCTAGGCAGGAAGGCTGATTGCGACAGGACCGACATGAGATGTTATTGTGTCGAAACAATCGAGGTGTTTACCCCGGCACTCCCTGCCAGGCACTGGTGTCCGCTTCAGCAAAATGTCCACGTGGACATTCCCCCCACCTCCCCCCCACCTTCCAGCCATCATCCTCATCCTCCTCAAGCTTTGCGGGTTTGACATGACGGAGAGGAGTGTGCAAGACGTTCCTGCACAGACCATGCAAAAGGACTCACATGAGGTCACCCGTTCTTATTCATTTCTTGCGGGAGGGGATGCCGGTCAGGTCAGGCAATGGGCAGGTGAGCGTGAGGGTGTGATGGGGGACCCTGCCGCTCAGGGGTGGATGGGCATGAGCAAGGGTTCTGGTCTCAGTCGGTGATGGCCAGGGGGTCCCTGGACGGTCCATGCAGCGTCAGAAGGAATGGCACTTCGGCAGGAGGGGAGAGTATGGAGCATGTCTACGTGGCTATGGGTAGGAAAGGGTAGGGACAAAGGGGTGTCGAATGGCACGGCAGCGTCACATCGGCCAAGCAGTGAGGATCTGGTCAAGGGTGGGGTGGGATCAGGGGCGGCTCCAGGTGGCCTTCTCCCCAGGTCGAAGTCTACAGGTTGGCAATGGCCGGCCAACGGGTCAGCATCGTCGCTGTCGGAGCTGCCGGGTCCTGTGAGGGCAGCCGACCTCGGGCCGGCTGCACGGCGTCACCGCCCCGGTGCCCGACAGGGAGGGACCGGAGTCTGGGATGACGCAGCGCGCCGTGCTGGCTTCCGCGGCTGCCAGGAGCCGGGCATTCACGGTTTCCACCCCGTCCAGCTGCATGGGGAGAAGGAGCGAGATGCCGGCTCAGCAGGGGCCATGTGGATAGGCCACCCAATATGCAGATGGAAGCCGGGCGCAAGCCTGGCAGGCACTGGCCTGAGTCAAGCACTGCACTTGGTCCGTCGGCCCCGGGAAGGGGCCACTGGAAGGATGCCAACCCTCACTCCTTCCTGTAGCCTCACCTCCAGCGCCGCCCTGAGGTCGGGTGTGGCCAGCGCAGGCCCAAAGATGCTGGGACGGGCCGCACGGGGCGGAAGCCAACACCGCCCAATCATGAGTGACCAAGCAGTGCCGGGAGTCTCCTGCGATGCCAGTCTTTTAGGAGAGCCTGGAAATTGCAAGATCGGAGGGCAGCGTTTGAGAGGTGAGGGCTGCCTGTTTGGGTTTTTAACGGCTGGCAGCATCCACCTCACATGAGGGAGACCACTGACCTTTTGTCAAGACCTGGTTGAGGAAGGTCGGGGGGATCTGGGGGGTGAAGAGCAGGTTCCGGCGTGGGCCTCGGGGGCGGTGTAGGAGCCTGGAGTTGGACGCCAGCGCGCTGGGTGGGCCTGGCGAGGCACAGATCCGCTTGGTGGGGTGGACATACGTGTCTGTGCAGGGCGTGGCCGCGTCCCCTGGGGAGGCGTTGCGCTTGCGGGTGTTGGGCGGTCCGGTCTCCGGGGACCCTGACCCCACCTTGACGCAGTCGGGCGGGGTCCGACGCAGGCACAGCGCCCCCTCACTACGACATGGCGTGCTGCGCCATGCATAGGAGTCCCCTGTGCACGTCGCGCCTGTACGAGGGGGATGTGACGGTGCCTGGTCAGCCATGCGGGTGTCCCGGCAGATATGCCGTGCCACAGAAGCGCACCCCTCCCCATGGCCCCAAGGTCGGGCAGCTCGCCTATTGTCAGCAGGTGTTGGCACTGTGTCATCAGTGTGGCGTGCAGCTCAGCGGCGACATCCCGCCAGATCGTCAAATCGCTGTGGTCCGTGACCGACGTCGGCATCCTCCGCCTGCGCTAAAATCTGTGCGGCGAATGCTCCCCGACACCACTCCCCGCTGTCGAGAGGGTGTTTTGAAGTCAGCTGGTCACAATTCCACCGTGCAATTCTGCGCGGCGATTATATCGGGCAGCCGGATGGATGGGCCGCGTCGTGTGAGCTGCGCACGGGCTTGGGTCAGTCAAAGGTCGCTCGCGTCATGCCCCATCAGCCGGGTACGGGCGCTCAGTCTTCGTCAATACGGTTGTGTCGGGTGCACACCGAGGGCGCCCGGCGAAAAGTACGCCTGCGCCCGCTCCGCGTTGTCGTGTCGGTGGTCGGAAAATTCAAAATCCCTGACCACCAACGGACGGACCTGTCGTACTGGGGGCCCATATGGACAGACCGGGTCCTGCACGCTGCATCACAACACATCCGCCCCATGAAATGCAACCGGCACCAAAGGGTATCGTACAAGCAAGCTCGTCCCACAAATAGCTTTGTACCCTCTGCCTCCCTCTTCCTGGGTGTTTGTGATTTGTGTGTCAGTCATGGGTGTCACAGGGTCACATCAGGGCGCACAAGCCTGGTCACCACCTGGGCGATGGCCTCTCGTGATGGGCAGCGCAGGATGACGCGGAGCTCCCCGCTGCCAAGCTCCTCGAACGAGGCCACTGTGGGACGTGTTCATGGGCGGGGCTGGGGTTTGGTCGGGGCCAGCACTCATGCTGGGCCCCTCTCCCAGCATCTGTCGTTAAGCCTGTGCGGCACCGCCCCGGGGTCGCAAGGTAAAAGCCACCACACCGCCCATGCTCCCACAGAAAACCCTCCTCCCAGGATGTCTGTCGCAAGATTGCACCTTCCCCCCTCCTAGGGAAGCAGTCGCCCACCTTGCCCAGCTAGGTCTTTGGAGCACTCCAGCAGCCGCAGCAGTTTGGCGACCCCGCTTCCTCCACCCTCGCTACCCTCCCCCAGACACAGCAGGAGCTCCGCTTCGACGCCCGGCGTCCCCAATGTTCCCTGCGGTGACGGGTGGGCGCTCCACGGCGCTTAGGAACAGTGCGCACACCGCACCATAGCTCTATGAGGCATGGATGGGCCGCTTCCACCCACCCCCCTTCCCCGCTCGCCTCCCACCATCCACGGCGCCAGACCTGGTCGGTGAAGCGCAGCGCCCTGACGCCGGTCCTCGCCGCCTCAGTGCTCGGCGGCCCGGCGCTTGGCGGCCCCGCCCTGGCCAGGGCCGGTGTCAGCGCCGCCGCCGCCCCTGCCACGATGAGCGCCAGGGTGGTCGCCAGCAGCCCCGCTGCGCTGCCCCTTGCGTTGTCCTTTCCGGCCCATCCCTCGGGGTCGGGGCCCGAGGCGTCGGCCACCAGCCCAGCCAGCATGGCCAGCGACTCTATCCGCGGCACGTCGCCTGGAGCTGGTGCAGGTCGGGGCAGGGCCATCGCGTCCGGGCCCGTCCCGGCGCCGGCCTCGCCGGGGGACCTGCCGCGGCGGGCCGGCAGGCGGAGGCGCACTACGTTGCGGCCGGGGGGGCCCGTGGTGGGCCCCCCCGGTGCGTGCGCTGCGAGCGGCGCGGTGGCCAAGACCGACCCCGCCTCGCGGCTGGGCTCGCTGTCGGAGGAGCGGGGGGACCCGCCGCCCGCGCTGTCATACTCGTGGCCGGAGTAGAAGTCGGCGTACGGCTCCACGCCCGGCGCCGGGGCGGCCGCCCGCCGTAGCGGCCGCAGACCGCGCCGTGCCCGGCCCCCCTCCCGCTCGGCGCGCGGGTTCCACTCAACGTCCTCGCCAGCCGCATCCCACGCCGCGCGGTGCGGCCGCGCTTTCTTCCTGCGGTGGCCGGGGGCCGGCTGTGCCGGCGGGGGCCTGCTGCTGCCCGGCCCCAGCCCGGCCTCCGACCTGCATGAAATCAGGGGGTCCCAGACAAGGCAGGGTGGCTTTTCTGGGGGTGCAAGGTGGGGTGCAAAGGCGGCAACCATCCGAGGCCAGCAGCAGCCCATGCCGAGCTCAGCACGTCCTCCACGGCACGCGAATCACCACTCCCCCCTCACCTTCTGGCCATGGCCAGGGTGCGCTCGGCCACGACGGCCGCGGCGTGGGGGTTCAGGTGGGCCGGCAGGCGCACGAGCGCCACCGCCGGGGTCAGGTGGCCGCCCGCCCCCGGCGGCCCCTCCCACGCCGGGGTGGGCGGGGGTAGAGGAACAGGCCATCCCCCATCTCCACGCCCAGCACCACAAACAGCTTGCGAACCTCAGAGCCCTGTGGGGAGCAAGTGAGGGCAAAGGGGTCCGGGGCGATGATCCTCACATTTGGGAGGGGGAGGGGAGCAAGGCGAGGCCGCGGCGCCGACCCATGGTAGGCACCCTCTCATGCGCGCGGATCCCCCATGCTGTTTACCTGGATGTAGATGTCCCGGCCGTCCTTGTAACGGTGCACCTGCAGCACACCAGTGTACAGGTCACCGTTCACGGAGAGCACGCAGAAGGCCTGCGCCCCGACCGCCCCCAGCAGCTCCGACAGCCAGTCGTCTTGGGGAAAGGGGAAAGGAACGAGGCAGGGGAGGGTTTTATGGGTGGGTTGCGACCCAGCATGCATCCCTCCAAAAGGCGACTGAAAGTGCACGCGGCGTTCAGCGGGGAAGGGATCGGCGGCGGCAGAGGCAGGCCCAGCAGAGCCTGCAGTCATGGCCAGCATGCCTGCCTTCCCCATGCCTCCACCCCCCCCATCAACACAGGAGCCGGGCACCAAGAAAGCTTAGCCCTACCAGGGGGCCTCAGGCGGGCATGGCTCGCGTCTCCGGCAGTCACGGTGACGAACAGGGAGCGGAGGCGGCCGCCCGCGTCCTCCCGGCACCACTGCGCGCGCTTGGTGTGCCAGGTGGTCACCGCCGGCGGCGGCGCCGGCGGCTCGTCCTCGACGCTCTCCTCGGCGCTCTGGGGGGAGACGGAGCCGGGTGAGGCGGGGGCCGGCGAGGCGGGGTACCCTGGCGCTTCCGCACCCTCGTCGCGGAGGGACTCCAATGGGGGACCCAGGTTCAGGGGCGGGGGGGCGCTGGCAGTCTCCTGTGCGTCAGACTCACGTCGCCGTGGATCCCGGGACGGGCTGGGGGCGCCTGGCGCTGGGGATAGCTGGGTGACCGCCGCTTCCTCCATTCCGGGTGGGCCTCAAAAGCTTCGAGGTCTCTGGCGTTGGGCAGCGGGGGCATGCGCCGCTCCGCTGGCCAGCAGCTGCGCCCCGCGTAGGCGTTCACCTCAGCGGCTCCTGCAGGCGGCTGGCAGAGGCCTGTGCAGTCCTGCCTCGAGCCTGCGCGTCGGGGTCCAGATGCAAGACAGAGTTGAGCCCTGGGCCCGGAGGGCAGGGCAGGCCCAGACGGGGAGTGGTCGCAGCCCGTCACTCGACGGCAGGAGAAGGATACAGCAGGGCATGCCCAAGAAAGCATGCTATTGCTACACGGGTTCATACCTTAACACCTGGGGCGCGGCGGGCAACGAGGAATGGTGGCACGCGTGCGCAGCAGACGGTGACCCCGCCTGGAAGCGCCCCTGCAGGCGATGTCACAGACGGTCGGACGGCTCCCGGCAACTCGTAGAATGGTATCAGGAGGCCAGGGTAGCTCTACAGTTGAGCCAAAGGCCCCAAGGAGTCACCCGCTCTGCGTCCGTGTCTCTCCCACCGCCTCCGAAGGGGACCCCTTCCCGCACTGAGATTTTCCACTCCCCCAATCCCCCCCCCTCACCCAAGATCGGGCCATCCGTGCTCCCAAACTTGGAGGGCACCCCTGGCATCAGTACAGTGATTACACAATACCACATCTGGAAGATCTGACCAAGGGGCGGGGGTTGCTGCAAGCGTTCACAAGAGTGTGCGCAGGGGAGGGACGCCGCACGGAAGCGTGACTGGCGACAGCTGCCTGCCTCAGCTCTCGTCCGTCGACCGTATGTTTCCCGTGGCAGCCAGATGGTTGACCACCCTGTCCAGTGCCCGATCCACCATGCCTGTGCAGCCGCGGTGTGGAATGGTAAGGTGTCGGAGTGCATGTGTGGCCAACCAAAAAACGCTGTATTGCTCATGCATGTTTGCATATGGATGAATGTTGGGTGCAGTGGCACAGAGTTCCAGGGAGCCCCCTGTACATGCCAATTCTCGTCGACCGCAGTCATAAATCCCCCTCCTGGCCCCTCACCTGGGAAAGTCGCCGACGCATGTGCTGACTCCAGCTTGCCATTCGCCTTCACCTGCGGGATTGCTCAACAAGACTATCGGTCAGAGACAAGTTGCAGTATATAGGCACCTGGTGCCTCAATAGAGAATGATCCGCAACTCGTCTTTTGGTTGTAGCATACTGTCAGTCACATGCATGATGACCCCTTGAAATGAGTCGATATCCTCATCAGCTTCCGTCCCACTTCCCATCACGCCTCACACTTGCCTTGGCCTTGGTGTGTCGGGCGATCGCCAGGAGGCGCTTCAGAAGTCGTCTGGGAAGCATGTGAGCCTTCCAGTCGGATCCCATCTAGATGAGAGTGGGGGAGGGATCAGGGCTTGCGGATAAGGTCCCCTCCTTTCATATGGAGGTGGAAATTGGACCAGGAGGGGTTTGCCGCCTGGACATGTCCAGCGAGAATCACTGACCCAAACTACTGCAGTGCTTGAAGGCGTCGCTTCTTTCCCAAACCCAGAGAGACCCAAGGGCTGTCCCCCTAGTGCAGATCACCTGGACCGCCAAAGAGTATGCAGGGAAGGTGACCCAGCTCATGTGCACCAGCATCAAGGTGTTGAAGAGGATGATGGTCCACCACGGCAGGACCCATCCACGATAGAAAACGTCCCTGGCATGGCGAGGGTGTGGGGGAAAGGACTCTGGCAGCCGCACTGGAGTTCAGGGTCCGGCTCCCTGCACTCCAGCCAGCCGCCGACCACTGCAGGCAAGAACTACTCAGGGCGACCCCCAACCCCCCCGCAGCTGGCACAGCCCTCGTAGCACGCACTCAAAGGCACAGGAGCTCGCCCCAAACTGCCAGAGGAAGAAGATGAAGCTGGCGTAGGTGTAGGAGCAGAGGAAGAGCGTGAGCTTGATGGGGATGAGCATGAGCGGTGGCCGGTTCAGCCAGAACACGTGGAGCTCCAGCTGCTGGGGCACTCCACCTGGGGTCGGGATAGGAGGATAGGGAGCCTTCTCCATATTGATCTTGCCAAGTCTTGTCGGAGCTGGGGGTGCTCCATGTGTGTCGACAGCAGAGTGCAGCACACGGCATGCCCAGCAGATGGCCAATACTTCTGGCATGAGTCAATGTAAGACAGGGCTGGCTGGTGGCTGGAGTCTGGCTTGCTGACGGGTGCCCCGCCAAGTTCCAGACCTTCCCTCACCACCCCTCCCACTCACTATTAGTGACATATCGAATGATGTGCTGGAGCTTGGTGTTCGTGAGCGCAAGGACGGCGCCATTCAGCGCGAAGAAGATCATGGTGGGGTAGCCTGTGCCACGAGGTGGGGGGGATGGGGGGCAGCTGGGGCCACAATTGAAGAGTTGCGGTTTGCCGTGGAAAGTGCCTTGAACAATGGTCGTCTTCATGTCACGAATGACATGGCCGCAGATCTCTTGCAGCATCTGCGCAGCACATGTGCCGACATGCCCCTCTTCCTTCCCTCTCCTCGTAGGCAGGGCCCGCGGGCTCACCATAAGGGCCCGCCACCAGCCAGTAGATGACGATGAGCAGCCAAAATTCAAGGGACAGACCCACGACGGCCGACAGGTCGTCCTCCAGCGACTGCACGATGAAGCTGATTACTTGGGGGTGGAGGGGAGACGGTGAGCTCCTGTCGACCCTTCCGGTCCGCAGCAGCGGCTGTGGGTCACTGAGAGGAAGTCGTGAAACATGCTACATCATCTACTCATCGCGGCAAGCGCTCACACTCCGAGCCATGCACGTATGCTGACTCATCCCAGACACCCCTCCCGGCCCCATCTCACTCCAGGAAGTTGAAGGAGGCGGGCAGGCGGTGGGTGAGGCGGAAGGACATGACCAGGGTCTGGTACTGCATCCTCGTCAGCGAGTTGGGCGCCAGGCCGTGATAGAGGCAGAAGGCAAACTCCCGCCACCACGCCGCCCAGTGCCGCCAGCGCTTGTCCCGCTCACCACCCACGCGTGCGGCCGGGGCCTCGACCACGGTCGAGGCCCCATCGGCGCTGGGCGGGACACCCTCAGACCCGGGGGCGGCGCTGCCCTGCCTCATGAGGGTCTGGATGCGGCGCAGCGCAGTCGCCATGCCCTCGTCGACCAGCGGGGGGGAGGAGGGGTGGCGGGGCTCCTCTGCAGCCCCACCCCCTGCCACGTTGGCGGGGCTGGAGCTGGCGCCTGGCGGGCCATACTCCGCCGCATCTCCTCCACCGTGCAGGCGGGCATGGTACTGCTCGATCTGGGCATTCACCCTGGGATCAGGCAATGCGAGAGTCGAGTTGAGTGGAGAGAGTTGGAGAGAGGGGTTCATTCTGGGATGCAGGAGTGACCGGGGTGGTTGGATCGCCAAACCCCTCTGAGATGAAGCACCGAGGCCGCACACTCCCAATGAGGTGCTGACAAGTGCCCTGGCCTCGGGGTGCGGATGAGACTCCGACCAAAGCCTGCCGCAGCAGCCCGGCGCAGGGTTTCTCCATGCATTGCCTGCCTCCAAAACCCCTTGCCCCTATTCCTCCCCTTCTCCCGCCCAAACAAACAGCAAAAGAAAGAATGGCTCTCACGACGCACAGGGCGGCGCGCTCGTGGTCCATCTCGGGCCACCGTCTCCAGAGCCGGATGCGGGCGCGGGCCACGGAGTGAAGGAAGAAGGAGCAGGCCACGTGCGTCAGGGCCACCACGAAGATGAGGATGTGCACCTGCTCCAGGGCCAGGAAGGAGACGAGGGGCACCCGCCCCTCCCCGCAGGAGGTCAGCCCCGGCTGCACCCCAACGCAGGGCACGTCGGCGCCGGCCTCGCAGGCGTGCGCGTCGCAGGCGCAGAGCCCCTCCCCTCCCAGGCAGGTCGGCCCCCCCGCGCGCAGGAGGCAGGCCTGGACGCCGGTGGAGCTGGCCAGGCAGCATGCGCACTCCCTCGCCAGACGGGTGCCCAGGGACCAGGCGGGGCGAGCCCCGTCTGTGCCAGACACTGATGGAGGAAAGGGAGGCGTGTGTGGGTGTGTGGGTGTGTGCTGGGCAGGCGCCAAGCTCATGGCAACTGCTCGAGCAAGTGGAATGGCGTGATGAGGCGAGGCACCGGACGGTTGATGAGCACCCCTACCATCCTGGATGAACATCCCCACTTCCAAAAAAACACCAGGCCAATGTGCTCCACACCGCAGATGCTGGAGATATAGCGCTGGATGGAGAGGAGGATGAGGGAGATCAGGCCCAGTGTGGTCAGCTCCTCCGTCATCTTCTCGACCGCCGCCAGGAACCCGCGGCGATTGGTGCGGCGCAGGTGGTCCCGGATCCTGCCCATGATGAGGTTGAACAAGAAGGACAGGACCAGGAAGAAGACGAGCACCGGTGGGGGGGGGGGGCGGGGGGGCATTGCAAGTGAAGGCCCGACCACCTGCGTGGGCTAGGGTTGTGTGACAAGTGCCCCAGCCCTCACTCACCAGGGCGACGATGTAGGTCGGGGTCTCGAAGAGACTGGTGTCCCCCTCGCCTTCAGACTGCGAGGAGGAAAATTACTGGCATGATAACCAGCAAAGCTATCCCTCCGATCACGTGTGTGAGCCGGAGCAGTGCCAAGGCCACCCACCATAGTGCCAAAGCGCGTTCGTCAACTCTAAACGCTGCCTCTGCCGAGCTCGCCATGCAGCATGGCCTTTCGTATTGAGCCTCAATGTTGACTTCACAAGAGTGTAATTCGAGGTCGTCTCCCATGCATCGAGGAAGGTTTAACCCCCGCAGTACTCGGTGAGTCAAGATCTCAACATATCAGCTCGAGGCGCTAGAATGTAAAACAAGGTCACCCTACTTGGAGATCAGATCGCACCGTATTTTCACTCCGTGACACTTCACGCATGGTATCGTAAAGACATATTTTGTATTCACCAATGCCTCCCTATGCCTTCCTGATCCTCGACATCAACAAGGTCACGGGGGTCCCCTCCCCACTATGAGGACTGCCGAGAATGGGACCCTGGATGAAGCCAGGGAGGCCCTGCAAAACCTTGCCCCCCAGAAGCTGGAGGAGCTGAAGCGGGCCTTCGCTGTGTACGACAAAGACGGTATGCCATGGATCTGCGCCTGGGACCCCTTGCGTGTCAGGAATGAACAGCATCAAAGCCAATGCCTGCCGTGCATGCCTCCAGGGAATGGCAGCATCGATGCCGGCGAGCTGCGGGGCCTCCTACAATCCCTGGGGCAGTATCCAACTCCCCTAGAGCTGATAGACATGATGGAGAGGATGGACACGGATGGATCGGGGGCGGTTGACTTTCTGGAGTTTGCGACGTGCCTAGCAGAGAACGACGAGGTGGGTCATCCAGCAAGGCAGTGGTGTGACCATGGCGCACGGAGAAGTCAGAGGTGTGCGTGAGTGGCACTGGCATGTACGGCCGGCCCTTGCTGCGCATAGGAATGAGATGGCGGTGCAAGAACTGCCGTGGGGAGTCCCAGGGGCTGGCGAGTTCTGGAAGGCATGAGGCAATAAGGTTTTCGGCTGAACCCAGACATTCCTCACTGTCTCATCCTTCACACTCACTTCCCTTGCACCCGTTGCGTACCCAGACAGCTGAGCTGGAGGAGGAAGTACGGGAGCTGGAGTCGGTCTTCCTCCTCTTTGATAAGGATGGATCTGGCCAGCTGTCGGCCGATGAGGTGAGCATGGGGTGTTAGTTTTGGGTCAGCTTGACAGGCAAGCTTGCAGCTGAGGGGAAGGGACAGCCATTGTGGGGCCTCCTTAACCGTGGCCCCTCCATGCACCCTCCCTGCAGATCCAGAAGGCCTTGAAGCTGCTGGGGGTGGACATGACGGCCCAAGAGACGGCATTCCTTGTCCAGGAAATCGATGGCGATGGGAACGGGGAGGTGGGCTGGGTTGGGGGGGTGATTCTGGCGGTCATGTGTGGTCCCTAGTCCAAACAGCCATGCAGTGCCTGGCAACGGGGTTGTGGGCTCCTGGCAGGCGCCAGCACACTATGTCACATTGTGCTCTCCAAAAACTTGCACAGATATCCTTTCAAGAATTCCTGGATTATGTTGTGGCATTCCAGGGCCCCGTGGATGACTGACACGGAGTCCTGAGGGATTTCACATCCTCGCCTATGATGGCCGATGTCGTGGTGAATTCCTTGCTGACGTGGAGCTCGCCTGCCTCCCTGGTCATGACATGACAGCAAAGCACTTGCGGCAGTCTCGCTTGCCTTCTCCCACCTCATTCACGGAGATTGCACCCTTGGACCAATACTGCAGAGACTGTGACTTTCGATTGTATTCCTGAATTTGTCCGATAAAGGAGAGCAGTGGTGCCACGAGCATGACACTCCCGGCTGTGCTTACTTGCCTGGCAAGGCCGTGCAGACAAGCTGGCCAACGCATCGCAAGCACATAGATAAGAGAATCATGCCAAGACCGGCTCCCGCCTGCCAAAGAGGCGATTCAAGAGACCGCCCTTCTTTGTCTCCTGCACCATTGGGCTTGGTTCTTGCACCTCCATCTGCAGTGGGGATGGAGTGGAGAAGACGTTGAAGCATGGGGAGGAGCCAGCCAGTGCGGGGCTGGTGTTTCATGTCAATGCCTCCACTATACATGCCAGGCCACGGCTGCATCGCTCCAAGCTCCCGCCCCCACCTTCCCACCTTCATGTCTTCAAAGGCCAAGCAGAGCACAGCCCTGCCCCCCGTCAGCCGCTGGATCGCGGCGACGTGCTCGTCGTGCTCTCCCTCGGGCTCCAAGGGGTGCTGCAGGATTCGGCGGCACGGCTGTATCCTGGCATGCATCTTCAGGGAGTACTTGAGCAGGGTGGGAACTGCCTCTGTGGCTCCGCTGCACGCCAGCGGCATGTGGGGAAGGGAGTCGAGAAGACATCAGACCAGCTCCTTGGGAATGCCCTGCCATGCCTCCCCCTGCCCTGCACACCCTCGGCACGCAAACACACCCCCACCTGAAACTGGGCAGGGTCAGCTTCATGCGGGGGACCTTGCGCGAGGGCACCGTCGGCAGCCGCAGCGCGCACAGCGTGGGGCTGTGCCGAGCCTCGGGGCCAGGCTGGCCACGACGGCCCGCCTGGTCATCCAGCGACACCACCAGGCAGGGGGCTGCCGGCGCCGCGCTCTCCGCGCGCGTCTGGCCCCACCCCCGAGCCTGGGTTGCAGCGATCTCGCCCCCCGGGGTCCCGCCATGCCACCAGGCACTGTGGCCTGCAGCCTGGAAGCGTGCGGCGTGGGAGGGCAGCCCCACGGCCTGCTGTCCGTGCTGCAACGCGGCGGGGCTGTTCACCAGCACCCGCCCCGCCCAGGCGCAGGAGGTGGGCCCGTCCCAGACCAGGCCCGCCAGCGCAACCAGCTCATCAAAGGCCCCGGCGGGGCTGGAGGTGTAGCGGGCCAGGTACAGGCCGCCCAGGGTCCAGCCGAAGAGGCTGACCAGGGGGAGGTCGGCCGGGATGTGGCGCCGGGCCTGGAGGTGGGGAGGGGGAAATGTGGGTGGGCGCCAGGCGCGGACATGCCTGGCCCCACCTGTCCATGAAAGGGAGCCGGCCCTGGCACCCTGCACGAGCCCACCTCGTCCATGGCATCATTGATCTGTGCACCACATCCGTGATAACACCCCACCTCATCGACTCGAACCAGGGACAGCTGGTAGAGGGCGCGCCCCTCAAACTCCCAGGGCCCCGATCCGTATCCCATGGCCACGGAGGGGGCCGGACAGCTGATGGACCCCCCAGGCTAACAGCTCCTCAGGATGGCACCTGATCTATTCGTCCTTTTCAGATTTTTATACACCATGCATTGGCTGATCAGCATCGAATGGCGCCCAGGAGAGTGCTGCATGCCCCATGCGAACCCGACCCTGAGCAGATCTGCATGCGTGCTGGATATGCTGCGCGATCGCATGAAGCGAACGGGCACACGCTGTCACTGATGAAAGGATGGGCCACCCTGCCGCGCCTCTGCAGCCGTGCCCTAGTCACAGGGAGTTCCGATGCCTGACTAGAACGGTGCCGCGGTAGGCTGCGGCCTCCCGCGCCGTGCCCTGCTCAGCCACGATGCTCGGGCACGTCGAGACCACCTGCGTGGCGCTGGCGCCCCAGCTCCTTCCCAGCACGGATCTGGATTTTACATCTGCTGCGCTGGCGCCGCAGTACATGAGGCGCCACCATCCCGAGACCTGGCTGCCGCACTCCCAGCTGCGCTCCCTGGCAGACCCGGTAACCATCCTGGCCGGCAGCCGGGCATGGACCAGACCCAGCGACTGCCTGGCCGCCTGCTGCATCGATCAGAGCGTGGTGCTGTGCTCCGCCGGCGCAGCGGGCCGGAACACCGTCAGGATGTCCGTGCTGCCGCTGGCGGTGGCGCTCGGCACTGCTGCTGCGGAGGTGTGCTGCTTGATGATCGTGCGGGGTCCCTCATGATTGAGGATCCTAGGGGCCTGAGAGCCCACACCTGATGCATGTAAGGGTCTTCACCTCACCTCTCTCCCTCCATTTCATCTCCCAGGTCGTGCTGGAGCACCGCCCCGTCAGCGTCCAGCTGCCCGGCACCATCCTGCAACTGACCCTGAGCAGCCGCCTGTGCGCGGGGTGGGGGACGCCCCAAGACCCCGGCGCCCTGCCCCTCCTCGCAGCCCGCACGCTGCACGGGGTCACCTGCCTGAAGATCCGGGAGCACCCCGGCGAAGGGGGAATGCTGGCGCTGCAGGCTCTGGGCCCCGTTCCCCTGCCCACGGAGAGCGCGGACGTGGCCTGGAGCGCCCACTTCGCAGGCCGCGCTTTCCTCATGTCCGCCGACGCGTCCCTCGCAGAGCTGGAGGCGGGACCCGCGGGGGTGCGGCTGCTGGCGAGCGGGGTGGGTGCCCTGCTGGACCCCGGGCGGCCCCTGCCGCGCGGCTCGCGCGGCGTGCTGGCCTGCAGGCCGACGGCCCACCCGCGCACCGCCCTCCTGGCCGTGCTCTCCAGCCTGCAGCTGCGGGACCTGCGGGAGCGGGGCCCGGACCCAGGCCCCCACCCGGCCTCGCCCCCGCTTTGGGCCTGCGCCAGGGGCCGGGTGATCTGCGCCCTGGCGGGCCCCCAGCTGCTGGCGGTCCCTGGCGCGCCCGCCGAGGGGGTCCCCCCCCTGGAGCACCTGGCCGCCCTTTCCACCACCGGCCCGGAGATCCTGCTCTTCGACCTGCGCCGGCCCGGCACGCCGGTGGCCGCCTGGCCGCTGCCCTCCCAGCGCGAGGTGCCCACCTCACTGGCCTTCTGGAAAGGAGGAACGCAGGGCCCCGCCCTCCACGGCTCGGCGGCGCGCGCCGGGTCCATCGCCGCCTGGCGCGCCGCCTTTGAGGAGGAGGGAGCGGGGCGCGCACTGGCGACGGGGCGTGCGGGCCTGCACGCCGCCCTCCCCGGCGCCGCCTTTGACCCCGGGGACCGCGTGCTGACCTGGCGCCCGGTGGCGCTCGAGTCCTTTGCGGCGGTGCAGCCGCCGGCGACGCTGGCGCAGCCGGGGTCAGCCGCCGCGCTGGCGCGCGCGGCGCGCGCGGCGGCGGGGCTGGGCGGCGCCGTGGCGGCGGCCCTGGGCGACCGCCCCTCCCACCGCTGGCACCGCCAAGCCACCCGCGACGGCGGGCCGCCTGGCGCGGAGCGGGCGCTGCTGGGTCACGCGCTGCTCGAGGCGGACTGGAGGAGCGGGGAGGGGCTGGCGGGCGGCGGCGCGCTCCTGGCCTGCCTCACCCCGCTCGCCGACCTCGTCCTCGGTCGAATGGACCCGACGGCGGGGGAAGGAAAGGGTGGCGAGGCACGCCCGGCCGTCCTCTGGCCCGCCGGGTGGCCCGAAGAGGGAAGAAGGGCTGAGGCCAGGACGCTGGACGCGCCCGTGCCGGCCATGAAGGGTGAGGGGCGGCGGCGGGGTGCACCGTGTGTGCGGTGGATGGCAATTTTGCGGGCTGGGATCTCTCGCCTAAACAGGCCGACAGACCCTTGGTCTGTGCATTCCGTGGCCACCTCGAACCCACCCCCTCTTACTCAAGAAGGAAAGAAAGAAACAGCGCTCCTGCTCCCAATCGCTGCGTGCAGGCGCCCTGGTGCGGGACGTGCCGGTGGAGCTGCCCATCCACCTCCAGGTGCTCCAGGCGGCGGCGGCGGCGCGGCCAAGAAGAAAGCAGGCGGCCACCGCCGGGGTGAAGGGCAGCGCCGCGGCGGCCACGCGCAGGACGCGGGAGCTGCTGCAGGTCGCGAACCTGAAGGTGCGCGACCCTGGCGCCCGGCGCCGTGTCGACCATCTATCGCTCTGGATGGGGTTGCGAGGCTGAGAGTGCTCGTCCGGCATGTGCCGGCGATGCGCCGAGCCCCATGAGCCGGCGACGAAAGCCCTCCTCGTCCCCGTCACCAACACCCACACAGGTGCCCGTCACGGCTGCGGAGATGTGCAGCGCCCTCGACCCGCACGTCGGCGCGCTGTGCGCGCTGCCCGCGGGGGTGCATGCCCGTGCCCCCGGCAGCGGCAAGCCGCCTGGGCCTCCCGGGGCAAGGCAGCGCAGCGTGGTGGTTCCGGACTCCGACCGCCTGCGCGGGTTTGCAGAGGCCTGGGGGCTGCGCCGCGTGTGCTCCCTGGAAGAGTTGACCCGCGGGACAGAGGAAGGCGCGGGCGCGGGCCCGCCCGCGCCCGCCGCCGGCGCCGAAGAAAGCTTGGCCGCGGCGTGCGGCGAGGCGACGCTGCGCCACGGCGTCCCGCTCCCGGCGCGGGCGCGCGGCGTGACAGGGCCGCCGCCCCTGATCCTGCATGCTCAGCTGGCCCCGCGGGAGCGGGCGCACGCCGCCGTCGTTGCCCCGCCCGTGGAGGACTGGCCGCCCAGCCTCTCCCGCCTACCGGACGAGGTGCTGGCGGCCGTGGCCGAGCTCAAGCTCTCGTGGCCTGCGTGGTGAGCCGGCAGCCGGATGCTGAAGCGGCGGCTGCTGCTCCCCTCCTGGAATCAGGGCAACATCGCGAGGGAGGTACCCTCTCCCGTCTTTGCCTGTGATGTTCGTGCCTGACAAAAGGGGTAGATCACCAAAGGCGGGGCACACACGTGAGGTACAGGGTTGGGTGGGGGTTGTGGTGATGGTGAGGTGCGCATCGGTATTCAGACACGCTCCTGCCCGAGGGAAGCGGCAAGACCTCCACGTCCAGGTGGCCCACTGCACGCTCGTGCTCCTCAGCGAGACCGCTTGGGCACAAAGAGGTCCTTGTAGAGGTCCTGCAGCGAGGCATTGTGAATGAGGGTGAGGCCGGGGATCCAGGGCTCGCAATCCCGAGCGAGGCATGCCCTGCACCACACGGCGCATTTCACGCCCTCCACCCAGGCGCTCCACGCCGCACCTGGGACTCGCGGATGATCCTCAGAGCGTCTTCGCGTCCCAGAAACTCGTCCACCACCACGATCTTGTTCTCGTTCTTCTTGTAGTCCTCAAAGAAGCGGCGGATCTCGGCCAGGCGGTGCGTGGGCAGCTCCTTGATGTCGGTATAGTCCTTGAACTCTGGGTCGTCTGTGTGGTGGAAGGGTGCAGAGCGAGGCTGGGGTAACAACGTGTGTGCCGGGGAACAGGAGCCGCAGAGCAGGTGCTGCTGCGGGAGAGTGCTCTGCCTCCTGGACGCCGGGCTGGCGATGGGGCGCTCCAGCCGGCAGCAGCGGCGGACGAACTACCCACGCCGCCCCCTTCCTCCTTGTTCCCTCTCACCGGCGTGCACGGCGATGATCTTGTCGTCCTGCTCCCCCTGGTCCACCATCTGCATGACACCGATGGGCCTGGCGCGCAGGAAGGAGAAGGGCACGACCGGCTCCTGCATCAGCACCAGGATGTCCAGGGGGTCGTTGTCCGCGCAGTAGGTCTGGGGGATGAAGCCGTAGTTGTGGGGGTAGACGACGGAGGAGTAGAGCACACGATCCACGTAAAGCAGGCCGGAGACCTTGTCCAGCTCGTACTTGACCTTGGACCCGCGCGGGATCTCGATGACTGTGAGCGAGGGGGGGGGGGGGATGGGGACAGGGGCACCGTGAGATGGGGAGGGAACTGCAGGGTGCATAACAAGGAGGTTTGTGCACGGCCGCGACCCTTCACTCCCGGGCTGCTCGGCACTCCAATCTTCATGCTGCGTCCATACCGGCGTGCAAGAGGTCGGGGGCCTGCTCGCCGATCTCCAGATCGTGCCACGGGTGCGAGGCGTGCCTGCGAGGGGTGTTGGTTGCCGGTCGGGGGGTCGGGTGGGACCTGAGTCGTGATCAAGCCTTGCAACGGATGCACATGACCTTCCCATTGCAGTGTGGATGCGTTGAGCGGAGTCTGGCGATCCCGGGTCTCACCCTCTGTTGGTGGTCATGGCTGCGAGCACTGGTCTGGGTGGGCCTGGGACTGCGACCACGGTGCGACCCAAAGCTTCCGGTCTCGCAGGTTTGTTACCCAGTGTATCGTCGCGTGGATTGCAGGGAAGGAGTGCACAATGAGGGGTTGGTCACGAGGCATCTTGTGCCCCGGGGAGTCGGGTATACCTGACTAACCCCGCATCGCCACGTCATTCGGTTTTGAAGAGAGGATCTGTACCCCCGGCATCCCTCCCTGCAAATTCGCCCCCGACCTTTGGTGCACTGTGTCTTGTCCAATTTGATGTGTTACGCAATGCTGTCCAAGTGTGGTCAGGTGAGGGAGAGGTCATGTCATGTTTGCTCCACCGCCATGGGAGTGGGGTCCTTGCAGGCCAGCAGGTCTGTCACAATCGTCCCCTCCTTGCCTTGGCTGGCACGGGCACGCTGGATCGTCGGGCCTTTGATGCAGCTGGCGGGACAGTCACCTTCTCTTTGCTCTGGTGAAGCGGGAGGGGGCTCGAGGCTTGTTGGGGTCTTTGGCCTGGTCGGCCGGGCTGCTCTTCCTGGAGAGCGCAGCACCTGTGTGGAGGGCGGGCAGAAGGTTTGCGTGAGTGGGAACGTATGAGGAGCGAGTCCCACACCCGCCTTGCGCCCAGGGCCGGCCAACCTGCGCTGTGCTAATGCCAATGCCCCGCTCTGCCGCAAGCCCCCCTCGCCCATCCTCCTCACTGCCAAGATCCAGCACACCCACCTTTGCCGACCCTGGCGGACATGCCGCCACGCACGGGCGCCTTCTCGGCGGCTGCCTTGGCTTCCCCTTTCTTCCCTGGGGGATTCCCCACCGGCCGGTGTGCCGTCGCAGGAGCCTCCCTGGGCCGGGCCCCGCCGCGGCCTGCGCCGCGCCCGCCGCCCCTCGCCGATGAGGCGGCGCCGGACCGGCCGCCTCGGGGTCTGGCAGCGGCAGCGTCTGCGCGAGCGCCAGGCTCCTGTGCCTCTGCGGGCCCTGGGACTGGGCTGTCTGCTTCCGAAGAGGAGCTGATCGCGTCCGTGGACCTGGAGCTGCTGGCATCGCTGGCTCCACTCACAGGGGTCTGACGGGACAAGGAGGGCTCGTCGCCATCCGCCGCCTCCTGGGATCGCCTGGCCCCGTGGCCCCCCGCCGCACTCGCCCCCCTCCTCGCCCCGCCCATGCCCCTCCCTGCCTCGCCCTTTGTCCCCTGGCCGTCGCCCAGCGCGGCGAGCGGGACCTCCACCATGTGGCGCACAGAGCGGCGCGCGGCGAGGCGCGCGGCGCGCGAGTCGGCCTCCGCAGCGTGCGCCGCCGCGTCGTCCGCGCGCCGCGGCGCCGGAGGCGGTGCGGCGGCCAGCGTGGCCGGGGCGTAGAGCGGCGCGGCCGCCGCGGAGAGCGCGTCGCGGCGCCGGCGCCGGCCCCCGGCGCCGCCCCCCGCCGCCAATCCCCCCCCGCCGCCTGCAAACGCCGCCGCCGCCGCGGCATGCCTCGCGGCGTGCTCGCGCCGGAACAGCTCCAGCTCCAGCCCCTTCAGCTTCTCGCGCTTGCGCACGCGGTCCGCCAGCGTGCGTGCGGCCTCCAGGTCGCGGCGCATGGCCGCGAAGCGCTCGCGCGCCTCGCCGGGGTCCAGCCGGCGGCGGCGCACGCGCGCCAGGGCGCTGGGCGCGCCGCTCTCGGCAAAGGGGTGCGCCGCCGCCTCGCCGCCGGCCTCGCCCTCCTCGCCCTCCGCCGCGTCGCCGCCCACCGCCTCGGCTGCGCGGCGGCGGTGCCATGGCGGCTCGTACCAGAGGCGCTGGATGAGGGGCGCGCCGCGCGCCTCGTGCTTGCGCTGCCAGTACTCGTATACGCGCCGGATGACCGGCTCGTAGTGGTTGATGCCGGGGACGGCCAGGCAGCGCTCCACGGGGAAGATGCGGGCGATAGGCGGCAGGCCCACGCTGGGCGGCGCATCGGGGCGGTCTGGGTCGGGGGTCAGCGTCCACAGCTCCGGGTGACGCTGCAAGGGCGGTGCGACAAGGGGGGGTTGAGGAGCGAGCAGGTTCGAGCCTCTGCAGACGGCCGCATGCCGAGCTGGGGCGGGCCCTCGCCACCCGGCATGACTCATCCGGCATGACTCAACCGGCGTGACTCCTCCCCGCACCTGGAGCTCGGCGGTGTACTCCTTCTCCATGCGGTCAATGAGGTGTTCCATCCACTCCCCGGCCAGGGTGCGCCGCGCCACCCGGCTCCGTGCGCGCCGGGCCTGCAGGGGGGAATCGATGAGGGGGGGAGGGGCGCATGGGTGGAGGCGGCCGTGATTGCAGCGGGGCAACAGATGGAAGAGCAGGCTGATGCACCCGAGCACCATCACCTGATACGCTCGTGCTCCCTTCATAGGCCATGCCTCGTCAGTTTTCAGCAGCAACTTGGACTCCAAATAAGCACCACGTTGTACCGCGTAGAGTGCCTGCCGGACCCCCCCTCCATTCCTCCCCACCTCGGCATTGTGAGCTTCCAGCCACTCCTCATCCTCCTCATCCAGGTCATATTCTATCGCCAGCTCCAGCTCATCAGGCGTGGGCTGCGCAGGGATGGTTGGAATGGGGGAGGGTGAGACCCCAGCCAGGCAGTGATGCAGACATGTCGGGCCAACCCCGCGCCCCGGCCGCTCGACGAGCACCTCGTCCACAGCTCTGGCCTCAACACATCACAAATTCACCCACCTGGACGTAGCGTGTGTAGGGCGGGTCCCGCTGCAGCTGGGGAGGGAGCGCCGCAGCCGCTGCGGCGGCCGGCGGGGGCGAGGCGGAGCCCGAGCCTCCGTCGCCCCGTCCCCCCTTCGCCTCGGAGGCCGGGCCCGGGGTCGCATCCTCGCCACCCATGCGGTGCTCCACGATGGGGGGCCCCTCCCCCGCCAGCAGCATGACGTCGGGCTGCAGGGCGGGGGGCAGGAGGGTGGCGCGAGGCACGGCAATGCCGGACCCCGGGCGGGGGCCGGGTCTGCCACACCCTGGCGCCGCTGCGCCCGCTGCGCCGGCGCCGGACCCCGCCTCCTCGCAGCCATTGCCCCCGCCGGGCCGGATCTCCAGCAGCGTGCGGAAGTCAGAGTCCTGGACGATGAGCGGGTAGGGCGCCGCATCGGCCGCACTGGCCACCCCCGCCTCGACCTCCTTCTGCCAGCGGTAGAAGTCGCCGTTGTCATACGCCAGCAGCGCCAGCGAGTCGACGCCCTCCACAAACACAGGCAGCTTCTCGTCTGTGTTTGTGTGTGTGGTGGGGGGGGGCCAAGGAAGGGGTTTGAGGATAGTTTTTATTCTGTGGTCCGCTTCCGGGGAGCATGAAGGATTGCAGTCCCTTGGCCCAGGTGCGTTCGTGCCGGCAATTCGGCTGAGGCAGATTCTAGGCCGTTCCAGCCATCTCCCTCCCACCTGCCCCAAAGCGCCACCTCCTCGACCCCTCACCAATGATCAGCGGCCGCGTCTTCCACAGGCTCCGGCTGCGTTTCAGGCCTGGCGTGCCTGAGTGCGCTCGGCCCAGGCCCCTGCGGGGCGCGCTGGATCCAGAGGCAGTGTCGGTGTGGTCGCTCGTGCCCGAGGTGTGGGTCAGCGAAGGCGAGGGGGGCGCGGCGGAGGTGGGCGCCCCCGCCCGCCGCCGCCCGCGGCCGCCGGCTCGCTGCCCTGCAGGAGGCGCGCCATTCCGAGGCTTGACTCCCTGCTTCAGCGACCCGTTGCCTGTCGGGCGGGTGGCCGGCACCGACGGTCGGCCACGCTTGGTCCGTGCCGCAGGGGACTGCTGTCGCTTGAGGATGCCTCGAGCAGGCTTCAACAAGCGCGCAGCCTGCTTCTGCTTGGGGTTGGGGCGCGCTGCAGAGGTTTTCTCGGTCCTGGAGCAGGTTAAAGTGCACAGGGTGGGCTTGTAGATGGGGCGGAGGAGCGTGGGTGATCGCTGGGGTGAGGTGTGTCCCCACTTCAAAATCCCCATGCCCCCTCCTCTACTCCACCCCCTCCTCAACCCCGCGCCCTGCGCGCACCTCGTATCTCGCACGGCAGATGGCTTCTGATTGCTTGCCTTCCACCAGCTCAGGAGCCCCATCGGCTCAGCGCGATCTCTGGCGCTGCATCCGGCGGGGCGTCAAACCGACAGCACAGCCGGGGCTGAGCTGCACCAGGTGAATTCAGCGCGGCATGAGACACGGCACACCACTCCCTGGTTCTTGCCAGATGTTTTACGGGCAGCGGTATCGATGCCTTCCGACGGGCGAGAGGCGTTACCGACACCTGGCGCTCTGCTCCCGAAAAATTGATAGAGAATTGCGTGGAGGTTTCCCGCACTTTCTTCCTTGGGGCTCCATGATACGCTGTCCAGCTCCTGGCCCCTCATGGTTGAGTGGGCGAACAGGCGCCGCGCATGTGTGTCGGAGGACGGTAACGAACACTTGATACCCCTGTTCTGTGCAGAATTTCGAACTTGACGTGCTGTGACAAGGGACGCAAGCCAGGATGCAAGCATTAGGATCCAGGACCGTGGCACCCTCCCTGCAGTGCCCTCTCCAGCCAAAACTCGGGAGCAGAGCTGCAGCAGTATCGAGGTGCGAAGAAGACTTTTGATGCATGTGGTCTTGATTACGCCGCGACCTGTTGACACTGATCCATCCCATGCTTCATGCAGGACACAGAGGCAGGGACGTGCCGGAGTGAGAGTATTTGCCGAGGGTGGGGAGTACCAGCCCCAACTCCCAAAGGTGAGCTTTGGCCGGTTTGAGAAAATACGACTGCCGAGTACATTGCATGGAACTTTCCATCTGGTCTGACCTGCATCATGAGGTGCTTGCATAGGCAATGCCCGTTTCATCAATGCAACCGCCCCACCATGTCAGGGTGTTGCACAGCCCAAGGTGCTCCCGACCTTGCCTCCCCCCAAGTTCGGGTGGGTGGACTACGCTGAGCGCCTGAACAGCCGAGCAGCCATGGTACGTTGCTGAGTGTCATGCGGAGTGAGTTGATGATATGTTCCTTCGGATGTGTCTGTGAGGTTTGGACTTCCCTTGGTTGCTATGCTTTACTGCTCGGTCCAGATGTTTGATTGCAAAGGAAACTTATTCACCATGGGCCCAACCCTCCATTTACCGCGACAGATCGGGTTTTTTGCACTGCTGCTGGTGGAGGGGATCTCAGGCCGCGGGCTCCTGCAGCTCATCGGCATCTCTGTCGGCGGCGGACTGAACATCGGTCTCTGACGCGCTCTTCATGGATAGCTTGCCTGTCATAATGCCTTGCACCTGAGCAGATCTGCTGCTTGTGCCTCCGGCCTTGCCTTGTACCTGATGCAGGACGCCTCCCTCCCTGGGCATCCCAGGAGCATACTCGTCACATATCCCACATGACGTGCTTCTTGTGCTGGCAAAGATTGTTACTGATACAGTGCCAGTCCTGCCTGCAGGACAGTGGGCATGCCATGCCCTCCGCACAGAGAATCTCTGGTCCAGGCGCAGGGCCGCAGCCTCCGCACTCCACTCGCTCATGTCATCGAGCACCCTGGAGGGCGGCCTCACACCCTCAGGTCAGCCGAGGGCCAGGACCTGCCGATTAACAACGGCATCCACCAGACCATACTCCACGGCCTCCTGCGCGCCCATAAAGAAATCGCGATCCGTGTCAGCGGTGATGGTCTCCATGCTCTGCCCCGTGAATTCCGCCAGGTACCCATTGAGCGTCAGCTTGTGGTGCAGGATCTCATTGGCCTGAGGGGGAAGGGGGTTGAGGATGTGAACGAATGGGTAAACACAATCCAACATCATACAGGTTCTTGCGTCCACCACCACGAAGCGTGCCCTGCGCGGCACGAGGCAGCACCCCGCCCTCCGTCTCCCTCAGCACAGTCACCTGCCACCCGCTGGTCTTCCCCGCCCCCATCCACACACCCGCAACCACTCACCTGGATCTCAATGTCGGCTGCCTGCCCCTGGGCCCCTCCCAGGGGCTGATGAATCATGATGCGGGAGTTTGGGAGGGAGTAGCGCTTCCCCGTCTGGCCGGCGGCCAACAGGAAGGCGCCCATGGAGGCGGCCAGGCCCACGCAGACCGTGGAGACGTCGGGGCGGACATGTCGCATGGTGTCGAACACCGCCATGCCCGCGGTGACGGAGCCGCCGGGAGAGTTTACGTAAAGGGTGACATCGTGGTTGGGGTCCACGCTGTCCAGATACAGGAGCTGGGCCACCACCAGGTTGGCCATGTCATCGTCCACCGCGCCGCCCAGCCTCACAATACGCTGAGATTGGGGGGGGTTGGGTGGGATGCGGTAAAAACATCATGCATGAAGGAGGCACGATGCGAGCGTGGCAGGGAAGGGCTACGCATCATCCGGCCAAGGCAGGAGGTAGAGCGGCGGATGCCCCCAGAGGCCCCTGAACACCAACCTGCTGGAAGAGCTGGGAGATGACTTGCTGGAACCTCTCCACCACCAGCGGGTTGGGCGGCTCGGGGCCCTGACTGGCCACGATGGGTATGGAGCGGTGCGAGGTGATGCGGGAGTCGGCCGGTGGCGTCCACAGGCGCTCCCTGCTGCCGCTACAGGGTGTGAGGAGGGCACAGGATAGATCGGTGTCGTGGGGAAATCGAGCCATGGCCCGGCATGCCAGGGGGGCGAACATAAGTTGATGAAAATCTCCATGATGATGCCTGGTATTTTGGGATTAGCGCGATGCCAGGCGCACATGCGCACCTGTTCGCTGCTGCCGGTTTCGCACACCGCCTGGGGGCGGGCCGGGCCGTGGCGAAACACCCGGTCCGTGGCACGCTCATCGCCTGCATGGCGCACATCGTACCGATTGTGTCCTAAGAGTGTTTCTGGGATGTCAGGAACATGTCATACAGGTGGCTCTGGATCTTATGCTGAACACCGGGGAAGATGGGTCCCTCCCTTTCCTCAGGACTACACACGAGAGCGTGAATCACTCGTGATGCCCGGCACACACTGCAGAGTATACCAGATTGTCGAAGCAATCACTGCGATCGTGTTATCCAAAACCTTATGCTATAGACTCTTGCTCTCACCGATACACGCTGTGCGCAGGAGTAGGAAGGTGGTAAACCCTGCTCACCCGCTGAGCGCACATCCGGGCCGCAGGCATGGCATCGCTATTGAGGAAACTGGGCGCCGGTCTGGGCTTGGTTGGGGCCACATACTATGGCAAGGTGAGGGGGTGGGGTGGGGTGGGGGATCGCGTGCAATGCATCCCGGCTAGGCAGTGGGTACACCCTCTATAGAATAGCCACAATGCTCCATTGATTGTTTCAAAGCCTCCATCGCAACCACAGGTAGGCTACGATATGTATGAAGCCAGCGTGGACGCAGGAGCTATCGAGAGTCAGTACAAGACGTACCAATCAGAACTGTCGCGGGCTGAGGCGCAAATAATGAAGGACATGGCATTGATGGAGGAGCTGCAGACCAAAGTGAAGGAGTTGCAACAGGCAAGGGTTTCATGTTGAGGATCTAATGTGCCCGCAAAAGTTTCGCTTACAGGAATCTCAGCACCGACAATGCCGGTCTGAGAATGTCTTCAACTCGCACACGTGTTCTGGCCTCATCAATGCAGGGACGCGCCAAGTGGGAAGCAAAGGTGATAGAGGCCCAAACTGCACTGGACAGGGCTCGTACGGGTCTGTCAGTCTGTGAATCGGAGGCCAGCGAGGCAAGCCAAGGAGTGAAAGATGCGCATGATCGAGTGGACCAGGCGGAAGCAGCCCGAGTCAAAGCGAGGGAGAGTGCAGAGGTGCGAGGAAGATGCCAGAAGCTCTCTGGGTGGGGTAATGAGGGGTTTGGGTACCTGCAAGATACTGCAGCCTTCATCGGATGATCCACCTTCCCACAGGTGTCACTGGCTGCCCTGTCCGAAGCTCGGCAGCTAGTTGAGGAGACCAAGAGGATGTACAATCCCTTGAACCATCCCCAAGTAAAGAGCCTGCTCAACCAGCGATGATTGAACGGCTGTCATTTGGCGGACGGCATGAAGCTGTGCTGTCTGCCGGAGCGCAAGTTGTTTTGAGCATTCCCTCAGGGGCCTGTAAGCTGTCTTTGCGACCCTCCTCCACGTGTCAGAACGTCGCGCCAATCTGCACGAAAGGCATACAGCACAACCAGGCTCTGCACACTTAATCTGACGCTTAAGCACACGATTTCTTGCCCCTGGCCCGAATTGATGGGCGCAGAGTTTGCATGATCGGTGCATGCTTCGCTCACGAAGTGAAGGTGCCGTCTCGAATATCTCCAAGCTGCGGACGTTGGCGATGTCCTCACTCAACGTACATGCCCAGCATGGTAGGAATAAGGGTGTACGTGGCTCGAATTCCAGCTTGAGATGCCCCCTCGTAAATGCGCTTAACACATCAGAGCCATCGGGTTGGGAATTATACGCAAGTGATGAAGGAACTCCGTCCAACCTTCAACCCCCTTGAGACAGGTGCACCACCCTCAACACGTCCATCCGGTTCCAGGCCACTCACTGCAAGCCAGCGCGCCAGGTCCAAGGCCCACTTGTATAGGAGCAGTACCCCCCCCTACAAGCAGGCTTCTGTGGTGGCACACTCCCTCTTAATGGCGGAGAGCTACAAGCGCCTGCTGAAGAAGTGCGTTAGAATTGGTGGGAGTACCCTCTGGACCTGCCATGCTCTGGGGGGATGCATGTGTTGAGGTTGGGGTGCTTGTACCGGATACATGAGCGTGCAGGCCGGTGAACAGTTTCCACAACACCACACGGCCTCTCTTGTGGCACTTAGCGCTACATAGAACCAATCAAGGACACACTGAAATTCCAGCTCACACAACCTGTCCTCCCTCCCACCCACAGATCGCTGGTCCCTGACGGAATAGACACCCCCGCAACAGCAGAGTGGCTGTGGTATGCTCCCTTTGCGCTACTGTGCCACGACACGTGAGGCTTCCAGGGTACTGCTAGGCAGGAGGGGTTGCCTGTGATCTTCTGCAAATTTCAACGGGTGGACTCAGTACATGGCCCTGCGACTGTGCAAGGCTATGGAAATCGCGGCTAGATCACTTCCCTCCCGACTACTGCAGGCGAGGGGCCGAGCCCCTCTTTGTGTATGGCAATGCCGCAGCGCTGGAGCTTTTCGAGACAGACTGGGAGGGCCTCCAGGGGGTGCCCTCCACCCGCTCCGCAGCGCCAGACGGCGAGGTAACTTTTGGCCAGGGTGGTTTGGCGGTCTGAGGCTTCGTTGAAGGACTTTCAGGGACCGTCTGGAGGCCCCTATGATGAGTGCAGCTGCAAAGCTGCGAGCACTCAGGCCACTGCGTGACGGGAAGGTGGCCCGCCCCTCGACCTACACACTCACCCTACAACACTCGCTCCCTGCATGCACCCGAGCACCTCCCTCCACGGAAACACCACTCCAGATCCAGTCGGAGAGGCAGGCTGCGCTGGCGCGGGCGCTGGAGAAGGGGTATGTCGAGAACTACAGCGGCGATCGGGTGGGGTTCAGGGGCGCACGCTTCCGCATCGAGGGCGCGACCCTCTTCAGCGTCACCTCCCCGACAGGTGGTGCTGGGCAGCTGGACAGGGGAAGGGCACCCGGCATGCATGCGCGGCGGGGGACTTCATTGTTTGGGGATGGGGAAACACTGCCACCCCTGATTTTTATTGCCATCCATACTAGCAATGGTGATTGTGGACATGCAGCCGAGCTCCTCCACCATCCGACGCAGGCACGGCATTTGGCCAGGCGGCAGTGCTGCCCTCCTGGTCGCACGGAGACCCAGCGCAGTAAGCTCCGACCCTGGAGCGGTTCTCAGTGAAAGCCGTCGTGACTCGAGGCAGGCAGCCCCCAGGACAGCTCCTTGCCGGCCCCCGCCCCATGCCATGCGTTTCCTCCTTCTCTGTGCTCTACCCCTGCCAGCCCACTCTCCGCCTGGCCTTGCCAAGCAGACTGGTCGCTTCGCCACGTTCGGTTTACATGGCCCACGATGAGCAAGTGCATGTCAGCGCCTCGTGTGCAATGCTGCAGTTCTAGGGGAGGGGGCTGGGCAGAGGGGGGCCCAGGCACGAGACAGGTGCCCTCCTTTCGTGAAGCCCTGCGGCCATGACAAGTGCGTTGGAAAATTGTCGCCGCGTGGCATTGCCGCTGTCTGAGAACATCGGCGCCCGGCCTGGGTGGGCGCCACTGGGGTCGCCGCCAGCGTGTCTGTCGCCACCAGGCTCGTCGTCCATCGGATCACAACTCCTGGACTCAGGACCGCTGACTGGGGGGCGGCTTTCCAGCCCCTCCCGGCGACGGCCCCTTGCCTCGTCCAGCGGCGGCTCGCCCCCCTCCTCGCTCCCCCCGGTCCCGCCCCCCCCACGCTCTGCCGCCTCAGGCCCAGATGGCGAGCACGGACATGAGGCCGTACCCCGTCGCCAGCGCAGCCAGCTTCAGGAGGGTGTGCGCCTTGTCGTCCAGCTCCTTGGGGATGACCTCCATGAAGGCGACGTAGAGGAAGGTGCCGGCGGCCATGGAGGAAATGGAGGCGGCCCCCGTCCCCGCCGCCAGGTCCGACACCACATACCCCACGAAGATGCCCAGCGGGGAGGCCAGGGTGAAGGGTCCCACCACGCTCCAGAAGCGGGCGGGGGAGACGTCGGAGTCGACCACGCTGGAGCCCAGCGCGTAGGCGGCCAGGCCCTTGTGCGACACCACGGCGATGAAGATGTGCATGGAGGCGCTGACGGTGGCCTGTGCGCCCATGGCCGCGCCCTCCAGCACGCTGTGGAAGCACAGCGCGACGCCCAGCAGGATGGCCGTCGCAAAGGTCACGCTGTGCCCGCCGCGCCGCTTGGGCGCGGCGGGCAGGACCGACGAGCCCGCGCCGTCGGGGCCGGCCGCGTGCGACAGCAGCGGCGCCGCCTCGTGCGCGGCGGGCTCGCCGTCGCCGGCGCCGAAGGCTGCGCCGCGCGGCGGCCCCGCCTGCCCGCCCCCCGCCTCCAGCTCGAAGGGGGAGGTGTCCGGGGGCCGGCGCGGCGCGGCGGGCGACGCCGGCAGTGGCGAGCCCGCCCCGCCATCCTTGGGCGCCGGCCCGGTGTCCACGCCGCCCGGCTTGGCGTGGGGCCCCCGCTGCGAGAGGGCCGGGTGCGCCCGCGGTGTGGGGTGCTGCACCCCGTCCGCCGTGCCCTCCGACGCCGGGCCCTGCCGCTGCTGCCGTCGCCGCCGCGCGGGGTCCACCTGCGCCTCCGGGTCCAGCCCCAGATCGCCATCGCTCCGGGCCGCCGCCCCGCCGACCAGCCCGGCGCCATGGCAGCCGGGGACCGGGCCGGAGGAGGCGTGCACCACGGCCGCGTCGCAGAGGAGGGTGAGAAGGAAGCCGACGCCGCAGAGGAAGGGGGCCAGGGGGAAGTCCATGGCCGGCATCTGCTCCAGCGCGTCGCCCAGGAGGTGGCAGAAGCCGGCACTCACCATGACTGCGGGACGGGGGGTGGGAAGGGGTGGGGGGCAGGATCGCGTCCGGGAACGAGATGTGAGTGTGTGAGGAGTTGGAGCAGGGGGGGTGCATGGTGGATGAGGGGGTGGAAGCCACGGCACGCTCCATGGTTCATTGCACTGCAGGCACTCAGTCAGCAACACCTGCAAACGCCCCCCTCCCCCTTCGGCTGCTCGTCAAGCCTCCACGGCTCACCCCCCGCGCTGAGCATGTTGCCCAGGACATAGCCCAGGCTGCGCCCAGAACCGCCTCTTTGCTTGTCGCGGGAGGAAAGCAGCACGGGCAGGTAGGCACCTGCACAGTTGCAGGAGGGTGAATGGGGTCCTCAGACGAGACGCAGGGGGATGCTCGTCAACGCTGGTTCGGCAGGCACTGACCACAGTCTGTGCACCCCGCGCGTGCTCTTGCTCGGGTGAGGGGCCAGATGTCATTTTCAGCCCGCCCACCTATCAATGCGGTTATTGCCAGGGTGAAGGCTGCCAAGGCATTGAACTCTAGCCTGCCCAGCATTGCCCTCGCCACGCCCCTGTGAGCTCGCAGGGAAGCGAGGAAGAAGGTGTGATTGGGCCATGCGGCGAGGGCGTCGACCAGCAGGGACAGGCGGCGATTCCTGAGCTGAGCATATCCCACTGCTGACCTGGTGGGTGCGCGAAGGCACGCGTGCCGCTGCTGGAGTGGACCAGACACAGGGTATTTCCCTTTCTCACGGGCTGGGTTGTGACCGGGTTGGTGTTCTATCAATTAAAGGCGAGGGTGGTTTGTCAATATGCACCGTGCGTGTGCGCGGAGCGTGCTGGCCCCAGAACACCCCATGCCAGCATTCTGGGTGATGATTCGGAAAGTTTACTCCACAATGTAAATACCAAAGCGCGAGCTCGACTTGGAGCAAGGCAGAAGTGCTCGAGCTCGAGCCAGGAGGGCCAGCTCCCCCCCAGGAGGCCCACTGAGGTCCCACCCACGCGTGAGGATGCCACGATCGGGTCCCGCGATCCGCGAGCGCACCCGGCACCTCACAGGCAACACAGGGTGTCACAGGACCCAGACGCGTTGGAAACCTCCACAGGGGCATCTTTTGCTCAAGACTGTGGATTACACCATTAAATAAAGCCACATCATGAGCCTGGCCCTCCTTCGCCGCGGGGTGGGCGCGTCCCGGTCCCTGGTGAGCACTCCGATGGGAAGATGTTGGGATGTTCGGGTGTGATGGCGATTGATTATGGTGCCTAATGACCCTAATTCTCTCAAATTACTGCAGGTTGGTCCCTCTTGGGCTTGTCGGGCTCAGGTGAGCCGGGCTGGGTGTCCGGAGGGACCCGTAAGCGGCACCCGTCAGCATGTCAGCTCACTGACCCCCTCCTGAGCCCATTTTCACTGCCAATCTCCTGTAGGCGAGCATCAGCAACCAAGCTGACTATGAGCGATTCGCTAAGGACCCCGAGCACGCCGGTGCCACTGTGAGCCTTATGGATCGGTGGGTATGGGATTGCCATGAGATCTGCCATCCAGCCTCCCCACAGCCTTCCAGAGGCACCGCCCCCACTCAGTTCTCCCCCGCCGCCTTGCAGTGGCCCAAGGTGCTGAACGCCCCCCTGTCGGAGGTCGACCCTGAGCTCTATGACATCATTGAGCATGAGAAGAACCGGCAGTGGAAGGTGGGCTCTAGAAGGGTAGCAAGGGGTTCTCCAGGCCCCATGCTGATACGGCCGTTGCCTAAATCATTGCAAATTCACCCAGGGAAGGGATCTGGGGTCTGCATGCGACTAGACTGCTTGTGTACCTCCACGCCAAGTCTGACGCATCTTCACTCCAACCTCTCCATTCATCCTTGCACATCAGGGTCTGGAGCTCATCCCCTCTGAGAACTTTGTGTCCAAGTCGGTGATGGATGCTGTGGGGTCCATCATGACCAACAAGTACAGTGAGGGCTACCCCGGCGCGCGCTACTACGGCGGCAACGAGTTCATTGACCAGGCTGAGTCCCTGTGCCAGGTGCGAGGGGATGATAGGGTTGGTGGGTATCTTCATGTGCGTAACTGAGTGCTGGGGCAGCAGGTGTGGTGTCTCTTTTGCCCTGATCTAGCTCTTCTGGGCAGATGGGCTGGAGATGGGCTGACCCGGTGAGGGTGAGGGCTTCCCAGTCTCTGACCCACAGCAGTCTGCTGCAGCATGACCCCCCCTTCCATCACGCTCATGCCTCCAACCCTATCGCAGAAGCGTGCCCTGGCCGCCTTCCGCCTTGACCCCGCGGAGTGGGGCGTGAACGTGCAGTCCCTGTCGGGCTCGCCAGCCAATTTCCAGGCAGGTTCCTGTTCAGTGGCTGGGAGGGCAGGCACTGTGCTGGGCCTGGGCCGGCAGGCATGGGTCCAGTGTGGGCCGAGCCGCCGCATGCACCGGCCCTTGCACTCACCAAGACTCTTCCTCTGGCTGACGTCGTGCATTCTCAACCTTCACGCAGGTGTACACGGCGCTGCTGAAGCCACACGACCGCATCCTGTCTCTGGACCTCCCCCATGGTGAGAGACGGGCCACTGGGATCGGTCAACGTTCCTTGTCAGTATGCTGGGAGGGTCATGTCTCACAGGGAATCTGCAAGCATGCCCTCCTGCAGGCCATGTTTCTTGTCCATGCTGCCCGTGGCAGTGGATGCCAACAGCACAACCAACCCCCACCATGATGCCACAGGCGGTCACCTGTCGCATGGCTACCAGACCGACACCAAGAAGATCTCGGCGGTTTCCATCTTCTTCGAGGTGTGCTGTGCGGGGCGGCGGTGGGGTGCCGGAGATGTGTGCTGGGGCGAGGCCTGGGAGCCATGCACCTCCCGCCTGGGCTGTTGCAGGACGCCTCCGCCAGGGTGACTGCTGGTCGTGGGAGATGGACCAGCGCCCCATGCTTTCCTCCCTTGGCCCCTTTGCCTGCAGACCATGCCCTACCGTCTGAGCGAGGAGACGGGGCTCATCGACTACGACGCCCTGGAGCGCACAGCCGAGCTGTACAGGTGCGGCACAGGTTGTGGGTGCTGGTGTCGTCGCATGGCAGCCCCCGTGCCCGACGCCCATGCGCAGTCGTGCCAGGCCCTTGCGCGCTCGGCTTGCGAGTCTGGAGTGTGTATGGTGTGATGCAGCATGCCACGGCATGTGGTCCCCATGCTGCCCACACCCTCCTCCCAACCTGATGCGCGCCAGGCCCAAGCTGATCGTGGCGGGGGCCTCGGCCTACACGCGCCACTATGACTACCCGCGCATGCGCCAGATCGCGGACCGCCACAAGTCCATCCTGCTGGCCGACATGGCCCACATCTCGGGCCTGGTGGCGGCGGGCGTGGTGCCCTCGCCCTTCGACTACGCCGACGTGGTGACCACCACCACCCACAAGAGCCTGCGCGGGCCGCGCGGGGCCATGATCTTCTACCGCAAGGGCGTGAAGGGGCAGGACAAGAAGGGGAACGACATCAAGTACGACCTGGAGGGCCCCATCAACTTCTCGGTGTTCCCGGGGCTCCAGGGCGGGCCGCACAACCACACCATCTCGGGGCTGGCGGTGGCGCTGAAGCAGGCGGCGGGGCCCGAGTTCCGCGCCTACCAGGAGCAGGTGCTGGCCAACTGCCAGGCCCTGGCCAAGGGGCTGCTGGACGCCGGGGTCAACCTGGTGTCGGGAGGGACCGAGAACCACCTGGTGCTGGCCGACCTGCGCCCCCGCGGCGTGGACGGGTCGCGCGTCGAGCGCGTGCTGGAGCTGGCGCACATCGCGGCCAACAAGAACACGGTGCCGGGGGACGTGTCGGCCATGGTCCCGGGGGGCCTGCGCATGGGCACCCCGGCCCTCACCAGCCGCGGCTTCGTGGAGTCCGACTTCGCCAAGGTCGCGGCCTTCGTCAATAGGTGCTGAAGAGAGGGAGGGAGGGGGGGGGGGGGGGGAGGCGGAGAAGGGAAGGGGGTGGAGGGCGGAGAAGGGAAGGGAGGGGGGGGGGCGGGGGGGCGGGAGGAGAAGGAGGGGGGAGGTTGGAGGGGGAGAAAGGGATGAGAAGTATGAAGGCAGAGATGTCCACATGAGGCAGCGGATGTTGCGTGCAGCAATCAGGGCTGGAGTGCACATGAGTGACCTGGCATGCAGCTGTCTGTGTTACACACTCACACCTGATGGAGTTCCAGGAGCGAGGCGCTCCTGACGCATCTCGACATGAGCCAGCTCGCTGCTGCGACGTTCAGTGTCGTGCCCTCACCCACCCCTTCTCCCACTCTTGCACCCAACCAGGGGAGTCGACATTGCCAAGGAGCTCAAGGGCAAGCACGGCCCCAAGCTGAAGGATTTCCGTGATGCCCTGGCCACCGATGTGAGGCCTGGGATGGGAGAGGGGAATGGTGACGGCATGGCTGTGTGTTCCTCAGAACCTGTCCCCAGCCCAGAGCATGCATGACCCCTCCCCCCCCCCGGCCCCC